GGTTCGTTTGTCCGAAAATGCTAAACCTGGGGAAACATTCCCGGATGTTATCCCCCTTCGCCGGTAACGTGTAGCATCGCGTTAGAACACGTCTAGCTCTGTTTGTTGTCCTGTTATGCTCTTGCTTGCTATGTATTTACTATTTCTCCCCCCTCTTCTCTCCGGTAGACTCTGAGACTGCCGCTGATGCCGCTGTGATCAACTACGTCACCGACGACCCCTCTTTCTTGCCAGAGCAACCAGGCAAGCCCCCCCCCCCTTGATCACCAGATATCGCCCATTCTACTCTATACTGCTTGCATTAGAGTAGTGTATCATGTTACTGCTTTCCGTTATACCTATCCTGATGCATAGCCTGTCCTTGTTACTACTGTTGATACCTTTACCTTCAATCCTATATGCTTAGTATAGGATGCTAGTATTTTTCATCTGTGGCCCTGCATTCTTGTCCGTCTGCTGTGCTATACTATTGGGTCGAGATCACTCGGGAGGTGATCTCGGGTATATACTATATACTTATACATGATACATGTGGAGACTAAAGTCGGGTCGGCTGGTGGAGCACCCGCGAGTGGATCTTTGTGGCGGAGCGACAGGGCAGGTTGTGACCGCCTAGGAGAGAGGTGGGCCTGGCCCTGTTCGGCGTTCGCGGATACTTAACACGCTTAACGAGATCTTGGTATTTGATCTGAGTTGGCTACGAGCCTATACGCACTAACCATCTACGCGGGAGTAGTTATGGGTATCCCGGCGTCGTGGTATCAGCCGAAGCACTTCAGACGTCAGCGACGGAGCGGCGCGCGCCGGATTGGACTGGAACGCCTGCTAGGCTAGGTCTGCTTCCGGCCGCCCTCGCAACATGTAGGTGTGCTATGGGCGATGGGCCCAGACCCCTGTGCGCTTAGGTTTAGACCGGCGTGCTGGCCTCTCTGTTTTGCCTAGGTGGGGCTGCAACGTGTTGATCTTCCGAGGCCGGGCATGACCCAGGAAAGTGTGTCCGGCCAAATGGGATCAAGCGTGTTGGGTAAGTTGGTGCACCCCTGCAGGGAAGTTAATCTATTCGAATAGCCGTGATCTTCGGTAACAGGACGACTTGGAGTTGTACCTTGACCTTATGACAACTAGAACCGGATACTTAATAAAACAAACCCTTCCAAGTTCCACAGACAACCCGGTGATCGCTTTTCCACAGGGCGACGAGGGGAGGATCGCCGGGTAGGATTATGCTATGCGATGCTACTTGGAGATGCTACTTGGAGGACTTCAATCTACTCTCTTCTACATGCTGCAAGACGGAGGTTGCCAGAAGCGTAGTCTTCGATAGGACTAGCTATCCCCCTCTTATTCTGGCATTCTGCAGTTCAGTCCACCGATATGGCCTCCTTACACATATACCCATGCATATGTAGTGTAGCTCCTTGCTTGCGAGTACTTTGGATGAGTACTCACGGTTGCTTTTCTCCCTCTTTTCCCCTTTCCCTTCTACCTGGTTGTTGCAACCAGATGCTGGAGCCCAGGAGCCAGACGCCACCCTCGACGACGACTCCTACTACACCGGAGGTGCCTACTAATACGTGCAGCCCGCTGACGACGACCAGGAGTAGTTTAGGAGGATCCCAGGCAGGAGGCATGCGCCTCTTTCGATCTGTATCCCAGTTTGTGCTAGCCTTCTTAAGGCAAACTTGTTTAACTTATGTCTGTACTCAGATATTGTTGCTTCCGCTGACTCGTCTATGACCGAGCACTTGTATTCGAGCCCTCGAGGCCCCTGGCTTGTATTATGATGCTTGTATGACTTATTTATGTTTTAGAGTTGTGTTGTGATATCTTTCCGTGAGTCCCTGATCTTGATCGTACACATTTGCGTGCATGATTAGTGTACGATTGAATCGGGGACGTCACAGATGTTGACTGGTCAAACTGACGTGTGGGTCCCGTTCGTCATTGACTAGACTAACTAATCATGATTAATTAGTTTAATTAGTTGTTTAGCTTAATTAATCAAAATTAATTAAGTTAATTAATTCTTTAATTATTATTATTATTTAATTCTTAAAAAACATTCTGGGCTGGGCCCTCAAGTCATTGGCCCAAGGGGCATAGCGGGCGAACGGGTGTTGGGCACGGGCGCCCGAAAGGGCGCCGTCGAGCGAGGCAAGCGGGGCTGTGGTGGGGCGCCGGCCAGGGCGGTGGCCGGCAGGGGTGGCCGCGGGGCGGATGTTGTTCACCGCCGGCGAGGTCAGGCGGAGACGGGCTGACGAAGGCGGGTGGCGAGGCGGCCATGGCTGCGGCCTGGAGCAGCGAGGCTCGCGCGGGCGCTAGCTGAAGGCGGGAGGCATCATCGGCGGCGGGCACACGCGCGGATGGAGAGGCGCGCGCGAGCGCGGCCACGAGGCTGCGGGCGGGGTGCGGTCGGGTGCTGCCCGGGGCATGGCCAGGGCGCAGCTGGCGCGTCAGCGAGCGTGAGAAGGCTCGCGGGGACGGAGAGGGAGCGGGGCGAGCGGGCGCGCCTGGGCCTGCGTGGCGCGCGCGGAGGTGCGAGCTTGCGCGGGGGCAACGGTAGAGGCGGGCGCGGTCATCAACGACGGAGCGCGGCGGGCGGCGCCGGGTGCGGTCTGGTGCGGTGGCCGGAACGGGCGTCGCGGATGGGGAGAGAGGGAAGTGCTCACGGACGGTGTAGGGGAGTGGTAGCGGGTTCGAGGAGGAGGACGGGGATGACAGCAAGGTCGAGGCGGTGGTCGACGACGGCTCCAGGCGAGGACGGGAGCGACCGTGTCGGGGCGGGACGACGCCGGGGACGGGCGTGGCGACGGTGATGAGGCCCTCGAGCGGCGGCGTCACGGCGAGGGCGGCGGGAGGTGTTGGGGCCGAGCCCCAGTTCAGATTGGGTGGGGGGGCGTGACAGCCGTGGCTAGCAGCTGGGCCAACTGGCCCAGTGGGGGTGGGGTTTTTTCTTCTTTTTTGTTTGTTTGTTTGTTTGTTTGTTTGTGTTTATTCTTTTCCTTTTTTCTATTTTCTCCTATCTCCTAAACATTTAGTTTTTGGAAAAAACATAGGTGGCACCTAATTTAGTAAACTTAATTATGTCACAGTCCGAACATTTTAGTTTTGAAATTTAAAAATTTTATTGTTTGTCAAAAATTCAAATTTGATTTTGAAACGTTTAGATCTAACGCGAGGTTAGCAACAATATCAGAAGTGACGTGTCATCACTAGTGTAGGTTTACTGTAGCATAATAATTCGGGCGTCACAATTGATTGCCTCGGCAGCCGTTGGATGAAGCCCGAGACAACCGTTCAATCTCTCCCCCGTGAGCATGAGCATGCCAGCCTTTGCAACAAGGCTCTTGTTGCACTCACTGCTTTGCAACATGAGCACTATTGCGCTCCCCACTGAGCCATTTATTTTCTTTTGAAATAATGCATATGTTGCGGTTGCACCTATGTTGCCATCACAATATACCGTTCATTTTTGTTCGCAACATGAGCCATGTTGCAAAGTGCACTGCAGCCACCATTGCAACATCACACATGTTTCAAATACATAGCCCCCGTTACAGACCAACAACACACATGTTTCAGAAACATAGCGCCAATTGCAGACCATTGCAACACCACATATGTTTTAGAAACATATGTAGCCTTAGTTGCATATTTAATCGAGTTGATGTGTTGTCCCTTCCAACAAAGGAAGGCAGGAGGAAGGAGAGAGAGTTCGGGAGGGAGCCAGAAAGAAAGACCGAGATGTTTCTGGATAAGGCTCTATGCCGTTTGCTTGGGGGGAGAGAAATGCTCCAAGCCATGGGATCGCTTGAGATCGGACGGCACATGATGCGGCCGATGCAGCCACAAAATTAGTCTGTTGGGTTTAAGTGTTTCCAAAAAAAACCTATAATGGGTTTTTTTTTTGACAGGATAGCCCTATGATGAGTTGTGATGGGTTGTTGTTGATCGATCATATTTTGCTAGGGTTACCAACGCATTCCTTTGTATTTTGCCAACCTCATGTATCCGATGTGTTATCGCCGAAAGGATAACAATTACTTGTCTTCATATATTCTTGTTGAAATCTTGTTGCAAGGTGCATCGTGTTTTGCATTGGATCAAATGTGGTTTGGCTGGAACATGCGCCATTGTTATCATGCAACATTTACATCTTGTTCTCATACAAAATATTTAGTTGCAAGCAAGCACATGTCTAGTTTACAAGCACACAGCGCGACGACACGGATGGAAGAGTAATGCTACAACAAAGATGATTGACTGAGAGATAACGGCTGAAAATGGCCAAAGGGAAGGAGAAGAAGCACTAGTTTACCTACGATTTACAATTACAAGAGGTGGGCTATATTCCTTTCATTAGTTACTATACTCCCTCTGATCACTAGTTTACCTACGCTCTTATATTTCTTTACCAGGGGAGTACATGATTTACAGGCGACGACAGAAGGTGATCAGCACTTCGGCATTGGTGCACAAATGCAATTCAGGATGCAATTTGCAACGGCTTTCAACTACTTAATGGATATAATAGTGCATGCAAAACTACATGGTTAGCATTAGATTCTTGTTTACTGGTTATTTGATTTCAGTGTAAGCAACATCCTAGACACAGCTAAACAATATCCTAGGCACGTTTCCACGCCCAAGATATGATTGGTATATGAAAGAATGGTTCCATACAGCAAATCACTTGCCAAACGGCGCACAAAGCAAAGGACAACACAAGAGAACATACCACATTCTTGCATGAAGGCACACTCTTAACATTAAAAGCAGTGAACAAGGACAATGTATGAACCGAAAATCGACAGCTACTAAATTCGCCAAACCAATGTTTCGGCAGCGATAGAGGCGAGAGCGACAGAATCCCTAACTTCCCAGTTGCAAACATACAAACCGCCATAGAGAAGAAACTGTTTTCTAGTACCATGATGTAGTGATGTACTCGTACTACACAAGAGCAGATAATTCTGCCTGCAGCTTGGGACTCCCAAGGATCAGAGCTCAAAATGACCAAAATAGCGTGCTTGTTTCCTCTTTATAAATCTGGATATACTGGAGACGTCGCCTTGAATAATCGTCCGGCCATCTTCCATGTAAATAGCGCCATCTGCGTATCTGAGTTCTTCCAGCCGATGAGTCACCCACAGTGCCGCAACCTCCCCACTAGCAGTTACAGAGTTCCTCACCGCCTTGACCACGCCCATCTGCACTTTCATGAAGCCAAGATCACCAAGATTACAATGTCCATAACAATCAAGTACTGTAATAACTACAAGGTAAGAGTAGGCCTGCTAAGTGGTAACTACCAGTCAATCAAAAAGGATGATAACTACATATCAGAAACAGGAAAATATAACAATTTCTTATATTTTCAACAACCAACAGAGGATTTTCCATACATAATACAGTGTAGGTTAGCCATAGCTTCTAAGGCATATCAACAACACAACAAATGCGATAGAAGCATCAGAAAATTATATGTAATATAGTCCAAAATCGTAATGTGTTTATGAACCATGGCTACACCAATTTTAATGAACTACAGACTGTTGGGAGCTTTAGCGCAATTGCCAAACTACAGTTCCAGTTCGAAATGAAATGGTAACTGAAGATTGCTCTAGCAAAGGTACCTCGTGATCATATATCTTAGTGCATGTTATTAAAAACTAAACATGAATAATCATAATACCTGATCATATTCGTCCAAGAATGTGGTCAGCTCATCCAGCAGTAGTACTTTGGATGCTTCAGCTAAAGCACCAGCAATGGCAACTCTCTGTTTCTGCCCACCACTCAGAGTTTGGATTGGCCTCTGTTTTGGATGAAGGATGTTTGTGAACCTTGTGCAGACAATAGTAGATTATAATCCAAAATGTGCATGTCAGCTGCCTACTTGAGAGTAGCTCAACATTCCAACTGCATCCAGAGATTGTGACACTCTTGACCTAACCTCATCCAATGAAAGATTGAGCTTACCAAGACCAAATGCAACATCGGATTCTACCGTGGGCATCACAACCTGCATCCAAAAGACAGAATTCAATATGCAGCAAAACTTCATTTAATTTGGGACGATTGCATTGCTAACAAAGCTCCCAAGCATCCACAATACAAACATCCTATGAATTCGAAGCCACTTTGATAATGCGTTATGGCATAGTTGCAGGTAAAAACTCATCAAAGAACCAGTGATAACCTGGTGATCAGGATTTTGGAAGACATAGCTGAATGGCCTATTAATATGCACTGTACCAGCAGATGGATTTTGAAAACCTGCCAAAACCTACAAAAGAACAAGAAGTTAGCATTCCATTGAGGTACTAGTAGAAAGAAACCCTATCAAAGTTTTGTATTCCATGTAAGCAGAAAGAAAAACATGCAAGCAAATAAACTGATCTAGAACCAAATTTTGTATCACTCTGCTTTACAAAATATATTCTAACAATACCAGAATAGATTATGCAACTTCTCTAAGAATACTTCCTTCCTAGTTCTGTCATAATTTTTATTCAGGTTGAAGTTGAACATATATCCTGAGAAATGTGAAATTACCATGTCGATCAGGTGTTCAGTGCTCAATTGGTCGAATGTACTTGATACAACACGCACAGTATCTGATGCATGATTGCTCATTTACACGTGAAGATCCTGGTAGTTATGCTACAGGATATATTTACTATCAGTTATCGAATTAAATTTCCTGTTGGCTCCTGATGGTGGCTGATATATTTTTTCTCAAGCAACTCGAATGACCGCAAACTCAGCAAATTCTGAGCCATTCCTAGGTCTCACAGACCTTATCTCGGTAAAAAGCTGGGACAATCCAAAGATTCAAATGGCTACCATTCAGCATTTCGATTTCTGATAAAGTACACATACTCTGCCTAGTCCTCCAAAGATATATTTTATGAGAACTGAATCAAACACGACCAGACTGTGCTTGTGGTATCGTACTCACTCCATGAGTTGGTTCTACACACTAAAGAAGAAAATTCTCTTTAAGAACAGACCAGCTACTCAACCATGGGTCTTGGAATTGATCATTTGCATACGGTATTTCGGTCAATTGCCTGATGAGCACAGCTACCGCCGGTCTATCGATAAAAATGCGCGTGGAAACAAGCACCAGACTCTTAGTCCTACTAGTTGAGAAAAGATAGACCTTGAGGAGGGTGGACTTGCCGCAGCCGTTGGGGCCGAGGAGCATCCAGAGCTGCCCCGGCGGGACGCACAGTGAGCAGTCCTTGAGAACCGGCAGCACCACCCCCCGCCTCGTCGTCACCGAAAATCCCACCCCGCGGCCCTCGATGGCCGGCGGGGGCGACGGAGGGGAGGCCGAGGCGGCCACACGGCGGCGGGTGGAAGGGGGAGCGGTCGGGGTAGCTCGTCCGGCGGCGCAGCAGGGCGGGTGAGGGTAGCAGCGGAAGGGGCTGGCGCCGCCGGTGAGGCTGTGCGCCATCGTCGGCGAGGGCGATAAGAGGTGATGGGCCTGGGCCGGTACACTGGGAGGCTAGAAGAAGACGAGAAACCAACCCCTTCAAGCTTAAGCCTAATCGGCCCACGATCTGAAAGCCTGTCCACAGAAGAGGAAAAATGGATCCGCTATCCTCACAAAGATCGCGTGGGCCGTGGGTGGTTACGATCTGACTGACAGCTGCGTCTGACGACTGTGTACTTCCTTTGGCTGCCGGTGTCGTACATGCGTACTGCACAGGCGCCGCGCCGCGCCGGCCCGCCCGCACATATACACCCACGCGGGCGCGGGCGCAGATGCAACGAACGCACAGAACGCCACCAGATCATCATCGGCGTCCAGCGCGCGATGGACATGGGAATGGGAGGGCACGGCGTGGGCATGGGCGGCGCCGCCGCCCCGGCGGCGGCGGCGGCGCACGGGGGCATGCGGATGCACTACATGCACATGACCTTCTACTGGGGCAAGAACTCGGAGATCCTCTTCCACGGGTGGCCCGGCTCCAGCGGTGGCATGTACGCGCTCGCGCTCCTCGTCGTCTTCGCGCTCGCCGTGCTCGTGGAGTGCCTCTCCTCCTCCCGCTGGCTCGAGTCCCGCCTCTCCTCCCGCGACCGGCCCGCGGCAGCGGGGGCGGCGCGCGCCGCCGTGCACGCGCTGCGCGTCGGGATGGCGTACGTCCTCATGCTCGCGCTCATGTGTTCAACGTCGGCGTGCTCCTCGTGGCAGTCGCTGGCCACGCGGTGGGGTTCCTGCTGTTCAGGGCCGGCCTGTTCGGCGGACAGGCGCAGGTGGAGGACGGAGCCAAGGACTACCTCGCGCCGGCGGCGTGCTGCTAGGTCTTCTTATCCGCATCATTCATGGGTTTGGAAAGTTTGGTGGTGTGATCCTGTTAATCTGGGTGATTGCGATCTCACCATTCACAACCGTTCTTGTTTGGTTGCATCTTGCATATCGACCGGGATTAACTTTTTTGTCATTTAATTGAGATGCTGGATTTAGTTGTTGGTGTGTGCTCGCTATGTTATCTCATTAATGGCCTTGGTAAATGCTTTGGCTAGTAGCCATCCACTCATCGATGTAGGGTTGGCTATTATATTGAGTCAAGAGCACTACAGATCCACAAATTTGCAATGGATGAGATGATTTAGTTCACAAACTTACAAAAGGTGATCACCTTATCCTTAAACTTGCAATGAATGTGAAAATTTAGTTTAGAGGCAATCACAAGTTGACAAATGGCGCCACACTGGCAGCGTCATGGCACACCCGCTCGGCCCGGCATTTTTACGAAAAACCCCTCCACCTTTATAGAAATCATGAACGTTGTTGCGCTTGCGCCTATGTGCCGAGGGCGGTGCCAGCAAACCTGGCTAGGATTGGCGGCTGCCATACCTCAAATTCCATCAATAAATATACTGATATATATACAAATACTAGTATGTGTGCATCTTGATTATAATTGATAAGGTATTGTACGTGTTGAGCCAGCTGAGTTGATTGCTGACTTGTTGATGGTCTTGCGAGTTACACTCCACGCACAAATCAACACATGTTCGCCGGTTTTAAAATTCTGGAAAGTGGAAATCCTTTCGCTGCATGGCCGAATGTGTGCAGCAGCAAACAACAAGCAGGGAGCGGCAGTGGTCAGCACTGAATCGGGCCATACGAGGACGCAAGCGCGACTGAGACACTAGTAGAAAACAGGGCTTTGGTCCAGGTCGGGTCAGCCCATTAGTCCCGGTTCAGTCCAGAACCGGGACCAATGGGGGCATTGGTCCCGGTTCGTGAGCCCAGGGGGGTCGGCCGGGCCACGTGGGCCATTGGTCCTGGTTCATCTGGACCTTTTGGTCCCGGTTGGTGGGATGAACCGGGACCAATGGGCCTCGCTCCTGGCCCACCACCATTGGTCCCGGTTGGTGGCTTGAACCGGGACCAAAGGCTCCCCTTTAGTCCCGGTTCATGTCACCAACCGAGACCAATGAGGTGCCTATATATACCCCTCGCTCGCGAGCAGAGCACCCCAGTGCTCTGTTTTTCTTTGGCCGAGGGGGAGAGGGCTTGGTGGTGCTCTAGCTCACCTCCTATGCACACAAGGTGTTCGATGGAATGCCCGAGCCACACTACTTAAGCTTTCTCCTCTCCAAGCTCGACCTCCAAACTCCATTTTCCATAATATTTGTCTAGGTTTAGCGGTCCGTCATGCCCCGTCCCCGTCTTCACCGCGTCGATCATCCGCGCCGAGCTCATCGCCGGCACCATCGTGGTGAGCCTCTTGTTCTTATCTTTTTTCTGAAAGGAAAAATATTCTTACTTGTATGTTTACATAGATACTTGTATTATTTTCTTACTTTTATTATTGTATCTTATATAGTGTGATGGTTTTGGTATCCGCCCCTGTCGGCCCTCGTCCTGTCTATGATTCGGATGTGGTATATATATTATCTTTATAACTATTGGTTCATTTAATGTTTATGAAAATTATGCCGACCAACGTGACATAGATTTTATTTATGTAGGATGTATGTGAATAGGAAATGCCAACCGACCCTATTGTCGAGAGGTTAAATTTAGTTGAAGAAGAAAACAATTTGTTGAAGGAAAAAATAAAAAAATTGAGGAGGAGAAGATGATATTGGAGTTGCATGTTGCGGATGTCGTCGATGATCACAAGATCAAGATGGATGCAATGCGCTTGAAGATTAGAAAGATTAGAAAATATGTCATTCATACCGAGGCTTGGTATCATTATGCCGTTGGATCAATTGTTACCTTGGTTGCGATTATGATTGCATTTGTTTTCGCATTGAAATGTTTTACATAGTTTCAATGTATGGTTTAATTAATTAGATGCTCTGGAGAGCTATATGTTGTTAGATGATAACTATGTATGCACTTTGGTTTTAATGTGATGGTGAACTTCTATTAATTTGGACACTTAATTATATATAATGCACGCAGATGAACCGGCAATGGATGTACGGTGACAGACACACCTGCGAGTACATTAAGGGCGTGCATGAGTTTCTCGATGCGGCTGAGGCAAACAAGCAGAATGGTTTCATGTGTTGTCCATGCACTGAATGTGGGAATACGAGGTCTTACTCTAACCGGAAAATCCTTCACTCCCACCTGCTTTACAAGGGTTTCATGCCACACTATAATGTTTGGACAAGGCACGGAGAAATAGGGGTTATGATGGAAGACGGTGAAGAAGAAGAGTATGATGACAACTATGTGCCCCCTGAATACGGTGATGCTGCAACGGGGGGAGCTGGTGAAGATCAAGAGGAACTAGACGATGTGCCCAATGATGCTGCAACGGGTGAAGCTGCTGAAGATAAGAGGAACCAGACGATGTGCCTGATGATGATGATCTCCGTCGGGTCATTGTCGATGTAAGGACGCAATGCGAAAGTCAAAAGGAGAAGCTGAAGTTCGATCGCATGTTAGAGGATCACAAAAAAGGGTTATACCCCAATTGCGAAGATGGCAACACAAAGCTCGGTACCGTACTGGAATTGCTGCATTGGAAGGCAGAGAATGCTGTGGCTGACAAAGGATTTGAGAAGCTACTGAAAATATTGAAGAAGAAGCTTCCAAAGGATAACGAATTGCCCGACAGTACATACGCAGCAAAGAAGGTCGTATGCCCTCTAGGATTGGAGGTGGAGAAGATACATGCATGCCCTAATGATTGCATCCTCTACCGCGGTGCATACAAGGATCTGAACACATGCCCGGTATGCGGTGCATTGCGGTATAAGATCAGACGAGATGACCCTGGTGATGTTGACGGCGAGCCCCCCCCCCCCAGGAAGAGGGTTCCTGCGAAGGTGATGTGGTATGCTCCTATAATACCACGGTTGAAACGTCTGTTCAGAAACGAAGAGCATGCCAAGTTGATGTGATGGCACAGTGAGAACCGAAAGAAAGATGGGAAGTTAAGAGCACCCGCTGACGGGTCGCAGTGGAGAAAATTCGAGAGAAAGTACTGGGATGAGTTTGCAAAGGACCCAAGGAATGTATGGTTTGCTTTAAGCGCGGATGGCATTAATCCTTTCGGGGAGCAGAACAGCAATCACAGCACCTGGCCCGTGACTCTATGTATGTATAACCTTCCTCCTTTGATGTGCATGAAGCGGAAGTTCATTATGATGCCAGTTCTCATCCAAGGCCCTAAGCAACCCGGCAACGACATTGATGTGTACCTAAGGCCATTAGTTGAAGAACTTTTACAGCTGTGGAATGGAAACGGTGTACGTACGTGGGATGAGCACAGACAGGAGGAATTTAACCTTAAGGCGTTGCTGTTCGTGACCATCAACGATTGGCCCGCTCTCAGTAACCTTTCAGGACAGACAAACAAAGGATACCACGCATGCACGCACTGTTTAGATGACACTGAAAGCATATACCTGGACAAATGCAGGAAAAATGTGTACCTGGGCCATCGTCGATTTCTTCCGACCAACCATCAATGTCGAAAGAAAGGCAAGCATTTCAAAGGCGAGGCAGATCATCGGAAGAAGCCCGCCATGCGTACCGGTGATCACGTACTTGCTATGGTCAATGATTTACACTACGTAATCTTTGGAAAGGGTCCCGGTGGACTAGCTGTTCCGAATGACGCTGAGGGACACGCACCCATGTGGAAGAAGAAATCTATATTTTGGGACCTACCCTACTGGAAAGACCTAGAGGTCCGCTCTTCAATCGACGTGATACACGTGACGAAGAACCTTTGCGTGAACCTGCTAGGCTTCTTGGGCGTGTATGGGAAGACAAAAGATACACCTGAGGCACGAGAGGACCTGCAACGTTTGCACGAAAAAGACGGCATGCCTCCGAAGCAGTATAAAGGTCCTGCCAGCTACGCTCTTACGAAAGAAGAGAAAGAAATCTTCTTTGAATGCCTGCTCAGTATGAAGGTCACGACTGGCTTCTCGTCGAATATAAAGGGAATAATAAATATGCCAGAGAAAAAG